CCATCTGTTCTAGCTGTAATTTACCTTTCATCAGCTGGAAATTACCATCCTCATAGCTGAGATATGGCAACTCATTACAGGAGCATAGCTAGTCTGCTTCTATGCAAAGCAAAACAGACAGCCTTAGATCATCCTCTGTGATTTCTATTTTGTTTTTCAGCAAAATGAACTAGACACAGTTGTGTGCTGTTACTGCATCTCAGCTGAAGCACAGTATCTTCTCAAACTGCTCCATTTCCATCCTCAAAGACACATCAGTCTCTGCTCTGTGATCCCCTAGGCAGAAGATGCAACATTAATGGAGATTCTGGTTGTCATACTCAATAGCAGTTAGTGATCTCAATGCCTCAATTTCTAGTGTACCCAATGTGAAATGCTTTAAAATGTCCAATTTTCAGGAAATAATGAACCCTCAAAAACTGATGGGTGGTGGTGTGTCATGTTCCCACCATCCACCTAGCGCTTAAATCCAGAATCCATTTTACCTGATGTTTCTACCTAGAAAATCCTGTTGCAAGACTAACATCCTACTACTAGTCAAAAAAAGGGGGGAGGGGGGGAAATATTTTGTTAGCTGTAATGAAAATGCAGCAAATCCATATATTCTTCCAGTTACACGAAATACAGCAGTCTACTCTTGAATATGGAGCTGTGAGTATTTTCTTCCAGAGTGATGCAGTGAAAAGCTCTCTCACAAAATACTATAATCAGCTTTCAGTGAAACCTGCTTTACTGGACATAATAATAAAGGTTGATTTCCAACACTGTCAGGCCAAAAAAAAATACCCAATATTTCCAATCCATGTATGCTTGCACTTCTTACTACAAATACAACCATCAGTAATCTGAAAGACCAGAAGCCTAACCAATACTAGCTGGTTTCAGCCAAGCCTGTGCTGATAGACAACAGAATGAAACCAAGTTAATTAGAGTTAAATGTATCCTCAAAGGAGATCTCAGTACCAAAACTCCTTATGCACATTAACTTATGTAGTATGTATTTTTAATGAGTTCAGCACTTGTCTTGGGTTTAGAAAACACACACACACAGGGTGGCAGCTCTTCAAACCCACTGCTACAGAGCAGGAGCAAGTGCTGACTCCGTGGGATGACAAAAGTTACGTGCCAGTTATGGTGATTCTACCCTTACCGCATAATCCTCAGATATCTAAATTAATTAAACAAGTCAAACAACAAAAGACACCTACCAATATACTGATTATATAATAGAAAAGGAAAGGAAAAAGACCAGAGGGGTAAAGCTCATCTCTTCAATTTTGCAAATATGGTTAAATCTTGTAACATCTCCAGCTTCTGATGATGTTCTTTTTCATAAACACACTTTTGAAAACACATATCCCTGTAGACAGCTAAAGCATACACCCTCAAAGCAGAAGGGAATTTTACTAGTCTGAATTCAGAGCTTTAAACCCCACCCTTCCCTCTCCGCATGCATTCTCCAGCACACACCATGGGAAACCAGGTAAATGGCCACCTATCATGCCTTTTGGGCTCCAATATATTAAGGTACTCCACTTACTCGTAAGATAAAAAAGACCTGTAAAGACTCTTAAGTTAAAAAAAAAAAAAAAGAGCGCCACACATAAAGAATGCTGAGCTACACCAATGAATTCTGCCAATGCCCTTTCCAGGTTGTCATTTAAATATAGTCAGAAAATGCTGTTCACTGTATTACAGTGAAAAATAAAGGGTGATTCGGTGGTTTGCATGAAGTATCATGTTCTGGCCAATGTGGCATTAACACACAATCAAACCACTTTGAATCACATACGATTCGAGGTCCCTTCCAACCCCTATGATTCTATGATTTGTGCCAACATTTTCTAGAAATATATAACTTATATCGAAGCAAGCATCCCTTTAAATTAGAACATGGTATCACAACATATTTTCAAAAATGCAAATAAATTTAAAAATAAAAAAATAATTAAAGAATTATAAAGAGGACAGAATGATCTGATGACAACTGTTTTATACTTAAAAGTCAGAATAAAGAAAACCAAGCATGCAGAAGTCTCAGTTTTTACTGTGATTCCAGTGTCCAGCTTTCAGCGGTAACATTACATGTATAGAAATCCCTCAAACCATAATCACACAGATATATAATATTTCCCTAACAGTTCAAATGGAAAATTCTGAGTTTGGGATTTTTAGTCTCTACAAGCAGTCTTCACTTTAATAAATTTTACTTCAGGACTGTAACATTCAAATGGAAATTTTAAGTATTTTTGTATATCCCTGAAAGAGCAACCATACAACAATTTTAGTTTAAATGAATATCAGAAGACTGCTTCAGGATGCACTGCAGTCTCCAAACTCCTGAAAACTTAATCTGTCTTCTCCTAATCTAGGTTACATTTTATCTTCAGGGGTTCTCCCATAACATCATTCCTTGATGCTTTAGATTTAGCCTGACATGATTGAAAAGGTTTCCTTTTCTTTCTTCTCTTATTCATCTGAACAGCAAAAGTACACCTTTTTTCCAGGGTTTCCCTGCACCCTCCCCTCCAAATCAGATAGACTTTATCAAGGAAATTATTTTAAAAGAAAACCCTACAGATAAACTATGACCTAGATGAGGGACATTCTGCCCAATTTATGTTAAAAAAAAAAATTATTCACTTTAAAAGATGTTATTCCACGCCACTCAAACTGTACTTGCAGCAACATTTTGTATGGACCAAGTCTGTCATCTCTTATTTACTAAAATCTTGTTTACATTAAGAATGATAGATGAACTTCTTAGGATCAGCTGAAAGCATACATAACTGCATGTACCAGAAGAGAAGTGCTATCAAACTGAAAAGCCCTCAAGGACCACTGTTTTGCTGAGAAGCAGCACGACCAAGCTGCCAGCTCAGTTCCTGTCTAATGTCTTGGTTCAGTTTTGTCACCACATAGTATCCTCCCAGTGGGGCAGCCATCTCCAACTTAAGACTATTCTAAAATGCTTCTGAACACAATATAGAACTACATGCAGATGATTAAGAAATGTCATCCTAAAGATGACAGAGACAAAATTCAGATGCTGTCCAGGTGTGCATCTCACCAAATTAACCCATCACTCACCGGGACATGCTCAACCCTGCCGGCCATTGCCAGCCCAGCTTCATGTTGATGACTCCATGGGCTAGGTGAGCCTGCAAGGGGTGGGGGAGATGCTAGGGACCAGAGGATCCAACCTAGCTGTACCTCAGAGTACTCGGCAGCCACTCATCTCACCTCTCCTGGGCTGTGAGAGAAGGGGATGCAGTCTTTAAACTCCAGTCTTCAGCAGGCAGAGCAGCCCAGAGTTTTCTGCTCACATTCCCACAAGCATCCAAACAATCTTGCCTACCCTGGGCTCACGTTTGAGGAAACCCAAGCATGCAATATGCCACACCAAGACATTCTTCCCTGCCCTGCTGTTTCTGTGAAACACGAGGTTCCTGAAACCAGCCTTCCCATTCGTGCTGTCTTTGCATAACCTCTCAGAAGGCACCTCCGAAAACCTGAGCACCAGCTCCTTACTGCACCTGCCATTGCCGGACCCAATGCCATCGTCTGGATCTGCCAGGATCTATTCCAAAAGGCTTGGAGCCCAAAAGCTCACTAGCAGGCTTTTCTCCACTCCCCAGGACCATACCAGCTGTACTTTCAAACACACATATGCAAAGACGTACCTACGGCAAGTGCTTCGATCTCCACTTAAGCAACAAGACCAGTCCCTGGTTTTAGAGAAATCTTGTTTGTTTCAAGCATCAGCATCTTAGCTAATGAGTTTTCGCTTCCCTTCTACGCTCCACAAATACTGGGCTGAGTAATGCAAAGCCTAATTGAATGTTAAGGTCACTGGCCAGCTCTTTAATCTTATTTAGTACACTTTGAGACAGTTCATGAGTCATTAGGGCTTCATTCTTGGAGACACAAAGACACGCAATATACATTAATAAAGAGCATAAATATAATCCAATGTGTGTATTTTACAGATTGCAAAATGAGAAAGATAGTCTTAAATATTTCTCTGTAATGTTATAATTTTAATAATGTTGATTATTTCAATAGACAACTAAAATATTTAATTGTGAAAGCCTGCTGGTGTATTCATAATTTACAATCTTACCATTGCTCTAAGAAAATTCCTTAAGTAGTAAAAGTCACACACTTTAAATACCAACTTGAAGGGAAAGAAGGGCTCAAGGGAGACCTATCTTAAAAATTCCTTAACTTGAAGAGGGAAAAAAAAGAACATTTTTCAAGCTGTTATTCATTATATTTGATTTTATGATGTAAACTATAACTCAGTGCACACACGTGTCAGGAACTGAGCAATACTTTTGAAAGGGATCAACATCACTAATCAAGCACTGAGATCGAGTTTTGGGGAGAATCTAGGAGCTCAAAGCTGAACATTTTAAGCTTACTTGGAAAGACCTTTGAAAAATAAAGTTAAACATTAAGTATACATAAGTGTGCTTGAGAAACTTTACACCTGTCTTGACTTGAATCAGATCTTTGCATGAATGATGAAATTCTTGGCATTGCTTTAGGTTATTGGGGTGGCATTAACTTAGGCAGGTTAAGAACTCAACAGGCACATGCCTAGACAGGTAGGATAAAGGTGTTACTGACTCAAAAAAGCATGACAGCTTATCTGTTGAAAGTCTAAACATGTTAATCATTTAACATAAACAGATCTGCTGATATTTTTAGAAAGGCATTTCAACTCATAAGTAACAATGTTAAAAAAGGCCACCAGTAATCCTAATCATATTTTCCACAGGTCCTTCCAGCCCCTTGTAGACTGTTTCTACTAAAATTCAGACCGAGAGAAAAAAAAAAAATGCCAAAGGGGTAGCTGGGCTTGGGATCAGAACAATAAAGAAGCTGCTGGCAATCAGCATCTGACTGCTGGCTATGCTAAAGACTCCTCCTGCAACCTTTATCTCCTTGTGCCTCAGTTCCCAGTCTGTAAAACGAAGGTGATAACACTTCCCTACCTCACAGGAACGTTCTCAGAATAAATCCATAAATGCCTGGGAGACACTGAGACACCACTGTGACAGAGGCCATAAAAATACCTAGGGAGAAAGAAAAAAAAATATAAAAACAAGCGTCATAAATGACCATAACAGCAGAAACATTCACAGATTAAATGTAAAACAAAGGTTAAAACTTCACTTAATGACACAAATTCTCCATCCTGAGGAAGAAGTAGTTCAGTTTAGCACATAATCCCATCTGGATGCTTTTAAAACTGTAACAGCATATGACAGTTTCCCCTTTCCTACTAGGACACGACAGGGTCATGATAATCCACCACCACATTCAGCTGGTAAAGGTGGTTCTATTGCAGACTGTTAGCTCAGGCCCTCCATTACAAGCATCACATCAAAGAACCCAAATCACAGTGATGAACCCTAGCATACCAACAATGCTCTTCCTCAGTCTCTCTATACAATATCTACTGCAGAACTGAGTTCCTCCAATGATTAAAAAACTTCTAATTTTCAGCCTAACCAGGTTTATTCCTGAACAGCTTTTCTTCAATTTGTTTTCACATCAACATTGATCCAGCAGCTTAAACAGCTTTTCTCTATCCTTCAAGTTTATTTTCCTGAAAATAAAAATTAATTGCACCACCTTCCTGCCAGGTCATTTTATCACTCAAGCCATGCAAGTTCTCACTCTCAAATGACTCCCCATCTTTGACATTACCTGCCTCCTGCTACCCCACTTCACCCTCTTCTGCCCAGCACCTTGTATCTCACTTCACCTTGTGACTGCACAAAGTAAAGATGTGTTTCTCCAGTGTTTCCAGCTGGCAAAACCCTCCCATCCTGTCCAGCTCAGAGCACAAGTTTCTTTCTCCTAATGCCTCCTACAGTCATGACCCTGCATGCTACCACCATGGAGATAGATCACACTTTATCACTCCGGGTCTCAATCTCTTTCTGAAAGACATCACAACCTTTCACAGCCCTGACCAAGCCTCCTAGCTGTCCTACTTGCAGTGCTTTGAGCCCTCAGGGCACTGCTCCATGATGCCAGGTGTCATTACATGGAGCATGCGTGGTCTCCCAAAACCACACCTCCTATCTTCATTGTCAACTCCACTCAGCAACCAAAGGTTCGAGCTCAATTACACTGTTAAGTGTTCTTTAAAGTGAGCCAAATGACTACAGCCCTCAGAAGGATAAGTGATTCAAAATTATGCAAATGCACAGAATGTGTTATTTAGTCTTTATCATTTACAAAGTACTCATTTCGTAAACAGTTGCAGCACTCTTTCTGAGAGCGTGACAGTGCCCTGAAACCCAGGCCTCTGACGGCAGCTGCGTCACGCACCGACTGCATCCCTGGTGGGAGAGGGGAAGAACGCCACTGGTTTGCTCCAGCTCTGAGGTGGGACATGAGCCTGAGACAGCCATCCATCCATCCTCACACACACTCCTTGCAGACCCTTTCTCATGCCCTCAAAACCTGAGCTGACTAGGACAACAAAAATCCCCTCGCTTTTTTTAATTTCTAGGGAGAGAGGGCAGTTCCTTTCCTCCTGCAATACTGACTGGAACCAGCACGGGATCTGCTCAGACAAGCGCCAGAGCTGGTAGGAGGGGGGAACAGCAAGCTCACCCCTTCTGCTGGCAGTCTGCCACCAGATCACACTGGGATGTATTGGAAACCTCAGTCCTGGGAACCAGGATACACTCACCTTTTCCAAGGACTTGGATCCATTTAAAACTGTGTTCTAATAACCTTCATAAACAAATATATTATGCAATTTTATGTTATGCAGCGTTGACTTCAATGACTCTGCAGCAGTGCTTACTCTACTGTATTTACTTCTGGCACACACAGGCAGCATTCGCTGCAGTCATTCAGAGCATGTTCCAGTTTTAAACCTGAGGTCTTACCTTGCCAATATCTATGCACAATGCTCCTCAATGAGTTTTTCGTAACTTTGACCACGTTATCCCTCTTCTGTCCCTGCAAGCTCACTTGTCTACAACATGTCTTAAGGTTTTTCCCCCTCTAATACCATGTCCAAATTTTCTATTCCAGCAATTCTCCCTCAGTGTCAGGTCACAAACTCCCACCTTCATCTGTCCCAAACTGTATGGTTCCATCCCCTCAGACACGAATTTTAGAAAATTATCGTGGTACGTCCTGCCAGGCTCCCTGGGATTTGAGTAAAGTCCTCTTTGAGGCATGCACTCAGCTGCCTTGATGCCCATGACCAAGACTAACATACTAAATTAATAGAAGATAGATTATACAAATCTGTTTTCTCCCTTTCCCCGAGACTAATGCGAGGACCATTTCCGTACTGGCTTTTTTCACTCTCTTCATCAGCGAGTCTTTGTTGCAAGATTGGCAATCACATCTGAGTGGAATCCATCCAGCAGTAAGTGGTTTGTTAAATCCCAGGACACGTTGTATACAGAAGGATACTTAAGCGACTTAAATGGCAACCCCTTATTAAATGCATAAAAATGACTGAAATTTCTGTAAGCCAGCAGTTTAATACTCTCCCTTAAACATATCACTCTCTGCTGCTAATCGTTACATTGCTTTTTATGCATTTCTTTTGAAATTATTTTTTGGAAACCCTATGGAAATTCCTATAGTTCTAGCACACATAGATGCAGTTGTCCATCGTACAAATGTATGTATTTGACTAAAACTCCTCTCTCCCAGAAGTGTAAGTAAATTACACACTTGCGTAGAAAGAGAAGCGTGTCACCAAAAAAAAAAAAAAAAAGATAGTTTCTATTATAGAAATATGAAGATAGAGAGGAAAGAATTTTAAGATGAAGTTAGAAAATACTGTCAGTCCTACCAAGCACTGTTTAATATGCAGTTTAAGACCCCTGGAAACCTCTGCCACAACAGGACCCATGCACACTGCAGAGATCACTTCTGCTCTGAATTTCTTTGCATCTTTTTGTCTGACACATATATTTAAAATTTTACACTGATTCAGTTTTGGATGTCATGGCCAACTTTGTAAAGCAGATGTTCTGCTTATACAGGGAGAGGGCATATAAACATGAGGCATTTGCTGTTGAAGATTAAACAGCAACAAAAAAAAAATTAATCAGCAGTGATGAAAGTGGTAATGGCAGTTCACTGGAGATAACCTCCTCCATGAAGTATGCTGCAGCCTCCACCATGCTAATTTAGGTTGTTAGAAGCCTAAAGTGACTAAAGAGAGACCATACCAATAGGATTTTAGCACTCTAAATTACACACAGCTCCCTCCCTCCCCCAGGTTAAAGTCAGGGCCAGCAAGAGCAGCAAGAGATGCTGCTGAGAGCTGCAATGCCACACATCCCCTTCCAGCACCCTGGAACAACAGCTCAGCACCCTGCATGCTTCCACAACCAAAAGTACGAGCACTACCATCACAATTTTTGTCAGTTTCTGTGTGTCAAGCCCAGAGCATTTTCTGAAACTCTTCCAGGCTGCTTTTTCAATCTATGTGACAGTATTTACTGAACAGAAAATACCAGTAGCCATGAGCATTTCCTGCAGCACTGACAACAGCAAGGAATTCCTCCTTTCTTGGTAAGCTCCCATGCTGGCTGACACAGCAAGAGGCGCTGTGAAGGGTCAAGAAAAGCCGCAACTTATCACAAGAAAATGGCAAATTGTGAAAAACCTGTATCACAAGGTTAGCTGCCTAGGCACAGCTTTAATAGAGCGCCATAAATACCTCAGTCTAACACTGACAGAGGTTAAAAACCTATTATCTTTCCCAAATGACAATGTGAACATATGTTCAATCAAACACCCCAACCCACTACACTACAAAGTAGATTCTGCTCTTTCAGTTCCACAAATACAAACCACAGGGAGCATTTTAAATGAAAACATTAGAAAGATTACATTAGGCAAGTCTGATCTACTGTAAAACACCCGCACACAACATTAAGAGGGAGAACAACCTTTAACACCTGCTTTCTCTTCAAACATAGCATTATCTCTGTGCATGGCTTGGCTCTTAATGGGATAAAATCTTGAACTAAATTGCACGGCTTACTCCACCAGCAAAGAATACTTTAAATTTTGGGACCTAGAGGCCCACTAATACTGAGCTGGTGAGAATATTCTGGTGAGCTGCTCGGCTGGTTGTCACCCTGCGGCACGGCTTCACACAGTGGAGGTTTTCACCCTGGTGTGAAACGTTGTGACACAAGAGGAGATGTGGCAGCTGGAAAAGGACTGTGCAATCCAAGCAGTGTTGAAAGTCATCATAAATATTCACAAGCAGGCTGATTTGTTTTCTTACCAATAGCGCATTATTATTCACAATTATTAACTACTTTCTAAATGCTACCTGTTGCTCAGCCCTCCTCTCCACCACTCCCTGGGCTGTGGAGGCTTGCAGCACCTCCACGCTGCACAGAGATTTAAGGTTTCAACTTCCACAGCTCACTCAGCTACTGGGAGGAGAGTGAGGGAATAATTACTAACTTAGGTCTTTTCTCTGCCGACCTCTCTTGAGGATGAAACAAGCAGCTTTAATGGCCTCTGAAGGGAGCCTAGCCCAGGCTGGCTCAGATGGGAAGGATGACAACTGCACTAGTATTAGGTCTTTGGAGTGGAGAATGGTTTTAAAGATCAAAACTTCAAAGATCTCAACGAGGGGAGAGTTCAAGCTCAAACGCTCTCCCCACTGGAGGGAAGAAAGCTTCTAATGCAATCACTTGCGTTCCCAGTGATCGCTCACACTTTAGACAGAGCTGAGGCACTAGGAATTGCCTGTCACATCCTACAGCAGAAATAAATCTCAGACTGCCAGAAGGAAAGCTGTTACAAATCTAAGCAATTTTCTTTGGATTTCGTTAGATCACTTCCTCAAAGGATCTCTCTGAAGGCAAGAGGTACAGGTGTAGGCAGAGAGCTAACGCAGGACTCCTTCTCCCCAGCTAACAATGACAAACGTGTTCCTTCCTCCTCCTAATCATAGGCACCACCCTTAACGTGAGATTGGGCAGAGCACTGCCAAAATGCACAGGCTGGCAGCACACTTAAAGTTGAAGAAGTGACACAGATGAATGACAACATACTGTCTTGGTC